AAGGGGGGGAGTTGCTGGGGATTGAACTGCCGGCCTTGTGTATGCTATGCATACCATGGAACTATAACTACCCATCTCTACGAGACAGGGTTTCACTAAGTTGCTTAGGGTGTTCCTTGAACTTGCCATTGCCATCCTACCTCAGCATCCCAAACAGCAGAGTTTGAGCTGTCCGAAAAAGTAGTATTTTTCCTATTTTCTGGGATCAGAGTGGTCAACATATGTAATACTTGGCTTGTGTGGTAGTTCTGTTTTTGTCCTTTCCTAATAATCTTCATCCTGCTAGAATCTCCTCAGTGGGGCCTAGTATGGTGGCACATCCCTTTAAACTACACTTAGAAGACGGGGGAGGCTCTTGAGTTCCAGACTAGTCTGAGCTATGAAATCCTGTCTGAAAAAAAGCAAATTAACCAGGTAGGCAGATGCAGGCAAATCTCTGAGTTCTAGGGCAGCCAGAGTTACATTGAGACTCTGCCTTCTAAAAAAGAGAAAAAACAAAACAGGATTGGCTCTATGGGGTGTGGCTTTTCCGCCTCTTGCCCCCTATCCCCCATGGTCGATTGGGTCACTCTTGAGTACTGCAACACCAGAAATGCTTCTGTTCTGAGTCATTGACTTGAGAGCTGTTTAAAACACCAAAGCCTCATTTCTAAGAACACACTGTGCTAGTTAGGGAAGGATGGGGAACAAACATTTATTATTGATTTGGAGGCAGGGTCTCACTGTGTTGCCTTGGAATTCACAGAGGTCCTCATTTTTGTGCTTCCCATGTGCTGGAATTAAATGTGCTCACAGTCATGTCCTCCCTTGCCTTCTTGAACAAGGAATGCTCATCACAAGGTGGGGTCCTACACACTGTAATCCCAGTGCTGCTAAGGAAAAGAGTGGATAATCTGGGGTTGAAGGTCAGCTTCAGCTACATGTAGTGAGTTTGCAGTTACAGGACACTGTCTTCGACTCCTTTCCTCAGGTTTTGTTTTGAGACAGGTTTCTCTGTGTAGTCCTGGATTTCTTGGAATTCATCTGTAGAATAAGTTGGAACTTGGAGATCCACCTGCCTCTACCTCCTGAGTGCTGGGGTTAAAGGTGTGCATCACTACTGTCCAGCTGCACTTCAGATTTTTGTACAATGTTGTGCATGTTTGTCTTACACAATTTACGGATACCATGAATTGATGAATCACTGTGTTTTGAAGTGATTTTTACTATTGTGGATGTTCTTTAAGCATTCTGTTCATTTTAAATTTTATTTGTGTATATGTGTGGTTTTTGTTTTGTTTTCCTGACAGGGTCTCACTATGTGGCTCTGATTGTCTTGGAACTCAATCTGTAGACCAGCCTGGCCTTGAAATCACAGAGATCCAACTGCCTTTGTCTCTGAGTGCTGGGACTAAAGGCTTTTGCAACTATACCTAGCTGTGTATGTGTGTTATGTGTGGGTTAGCATGTGCTCTGGCACATGTGTGGAGGTCAAAGGACAGCTAATGGAAAACTCAGGTGGTCAAACTTGACGGCAGGTGTCTTTACCTGAGCTGTCTCACAGGCCCTCTTTTCACATAAAAACTGATTTTTTTTTTTAAAAGATTTTATTTATTATGTATACAACATTCTGCTTCCATGTATATCTGCACACCAGAAGAGGGCACCAGATCTCATAATGGATGGTTGTGAGCCACCATGTGGTTGCTGGGAATTGAACTCAGGACCTCTGGAAGAGCAGTCAATGCTCTTAACCTCTGAGCCATCTCTCCAGCCCAAGAACTGCTTTTATTTTCTGTATGTTTTGCCTTCTTTGTACCACATGCCTGCCTGGTTCCTGCAGAAGTGAGACGAGGACATTGGATTCCCTGACACAGGGCTTACAAGTGGCTGTGAGCCATTTTGGGTGCTGGGAGTCAAACATTGGGTTCTCTGCAAACCACAGAGCCAACTCTTCCATTCTCTTTCCACCTTTCATTTAAAAAGTTCTGAAGCAGGGCAATGGGGCTTCAAGATCAGTCCCAGTAGGAGGCTGAGGCAGGAGGATGTACATCTTAGCAATTAAGTCAGACTTGGTCTTAGAGTAGAAACAGGGCTTGAGTATGTTGACTTAGTGATTGAGTGCCTGCTGAACACATGCAGGGCATTGGGTTAATTTGCTGGCTGGGGGAAACCCTGTCTTGAAAAAACTTAGTTGAGGCCACCTGATGGCATAGTGAGTTTCAGACCCATCAGGGCTTATATAGGCCTCTGGCCTTCTTGGTGCACTCATAGCAACCCCCCCCCCCTACATCATTTAAAATCTTAAAAACTAAACGAAAAACCACCCCTGATAATATCTGTCTTTGGGCCGTAGCTAATGCCACACATTTATACAGAGTACTTCTAAAATATTTTTTTCTTTTATTTTCTACATGAACGTCCTTAATAAATGTGTGGA